ACTTCTTAGATAAAATCGAGATTGTTTGAAGTGGAGTGGGTGATTATGCGAATAGTACAACTGATATTGTCACTTCTTTTATTATCCGTTGCGGAAGGACAGTTTTTTGGTGGTTGTGGAATCGGTATGCTTGGATGTGGCGGTATGATTGATTATTCATTGACTATTATTTTTGAATTGGAAAAAATGATCAATTAACTGTACCAAACGATTAATAATCTAATCTAAATGCTAAATAATTTGATACAAACGGTAGATAATTCGATCCAAATTCCAAGCTTTAACTAATTGGATTGAAATAATGGAAGTTTGTGTTACAGTAAACAGTGTCTAAACTTAACGATGTTAACTTATTTAAAAAACTGATAAAAATGAAAATGCCCATAAAGCCCTTACCTGGAAATTTTTTAAAACAAAACTGAAAAAACTTAAGTATGTCAACTATGATAGTTCAAACTTCCTTTTCCTGCCACATTACCAATTTATTGCAATCATTACAAAGTTACTAATTAATCTAGGTTACGGTTACGGTTATGGTTATGGTTATGGAAATTACGGTGCGATTGGTGGTTACAGTGGGATTGGTGATTACGGTGGTGTTGGTGGCTACGGTGGGATTGGCGGTTACGGTGGGATTGGTGGTTACGGTTTATATAGCACTGGCTTGAGTGGTTTTCGTATGGGTTGTTGCGGGTTTGGCGGCTTTTATGGATGAAAGTAAACTTGTTGTGTTCGAAACAATATGTGATATGTGACAAGATGCTTTCTACTACTTTTAACTATATGCCATTCCCTCTGTTCGAACTTAATGTAACCACCGTTTGAGTCTTTTTCTTCGCAATAGTAATAATATCACAGGGAATCAATAAATCAGTACAACACACGTAATACCGGTACAATATAAATCCTCATATGTATTACTTTGTTCTACGCTCTGTCGTAGGCTGAAAAATGTAATTGGTCAATCTTCTAATTATCTTATGATGGAAGGAATAATTCAAAACACTGCAAACTATCTCTATGACATATCGGCTATCAGAGTTTTAATCCAAAATATCCACCCACGTTCATTTACATGGCCTTCAACATAGTCTTACAGGTACAATATGACATCAAGCTGTTTCTAACACTGCATGACAAATAACAAGTAATTCATTTAGCACAACTATTAATTCCATAACAAACACGACATACAATATACAAACATACAAAACAAGGAACCTACAAGCAATAGATAAACTATTGCTTCACGAAATCATTACTAATTACTGATTACTAACAGCTACTAATTACTGATAGCGTGAATCAGATGGCTTCCACATGTTACGATGAACTTCGAAAACTGTAGCAGATTTTATTAAGATAATAATGGTGAGAGAGAGACAGAGTGAAGATAGAGAGTACTGCCTACAACCAAGTCCGATTTTATTTAGGATTAAAACCTATGAAATTCATACCGGCTATTTTGTGGAGAAGCGCGACTATGTTCAAAGATAAGATCAATGATAAGATGAAATTGGGAGTGTGAATGAATTGATAGCTTTGGTAAAGTATGTGGATCATTAGGAAAAAACAACGGCGCAGAGACTCACAATGATCCAGAGCTGATAATAATATCGTAATTAGACATAAAGAAAGATTTCATGAAACAATTATCATTAAATACCATTTCTATGAAGATTGGTAAAAGGAAAAGAACTGCAAAAAAACACAAAAGATATCATTTAGCGTTGCTCCTGTCTGCGAACATCTGAACTGATTATGATGATAAAAACGAATAAGAGCAATGAAGCAAACATATACAATATTATGATGTTCGAGAAGCGAAACTTTCTGGCCAAAAACAAAGAGACAATTAATAATGAAAACCAGTGAATCCCGTATGACCGAAGCGACATAAGCCTTAAGTAATTCAGAAGATCGAGAATTTCATAAAAAACGATATGAACTGAAGAAATAAATGAAAATGTCTTCTTAAAAAAAAGATTTACTACAAACGATATGAAACCATATAGAAGCAATAACGTATAAAAACATGAAATAAAATAGTAGGCACTGAATGAATTGTACATGTAGCTATGCAAACTTTCCTCTAAAAAGCTTCTTCCCATCATTCTTAAACATCACTCTATAAAAAACTCATATTGGTGATTAAAAATAACCACGATCGATCAACAGTAGGTAGGTCTTATAATAATTTTAAACTTCTGTTAGCTATCACACTTGCTCATTAGCTAACCCAAAATTTCAATCAGAGGTAATAAATCACAATGTCCCAGATAAGAGCAATATTGCTGATCATTTTTCTTATATTTGCAGGTCATTTTATCGGATAATTCAAGCAACGGTCTTTAACATGCAGTATAAAACAAAAAAAAAAAACAAGTGAATAAATAAAACATTCATTCAATCATCATCTTCGGTGATACTGGTCGACAGTTGTATTCTTAGCGGTCTTTCCTTTCTTCGCAAGATTGCAGCATCTCCAGGTTTTGCAGCGCTGTCTTTGTATCTCAACGTGCGCTTCTCCTCTTCTGTTAACTGTCGCACTTGTTCATTAGCTAATCTAAAATTTAAAACAAGGGAGAAATTACATAACTCTTTACCGATCTCGGACAGAAGCAGTCAAACAACTTGACTTCGGATAGTTCTCTTTGTAAATTGAATTATAGCAATCTTTTACGCATCATCTACGATCGTTACTGTAAAATTCCAATGACTGAATTCGAAAGAAGTTTGGCAATAAATTTAATAATTAACTGTAATTTGACTGAATAAAATTAAAACTAAGTTGAGAGTATAAAAGCATATTCTACAAAAAGCTTACTTGAAGTAGATGAGCTTCCCATTGAATGTTCCGCTGGATGGAACTTCATCACTGATGAAACTAACATTTTCATATAAATCAACCCTGTCCTTTGTATATGGCCACTTACTCCATGCAGCAGTTGGAAATGCCTAAATAACAAATTTGTTAAATTATGAACATAAAACTCAATTGACCTTTATTTTCGCTGACGAACATTATATAGGACAGCAACTTGGCAACTCAAATCACCAGCTCAATCGACTTTATATTTTTAAATTACTACAGTGGACCAGATGGTATTTAAGACGATGAATAATCTAAAGAGAGAACAATTTACAAAACATATTACCTCTGACAGTTGGATTTGATCAAATGGCACACGATAGTGAAAGGAAATCTGTTCTTTAAGTGCTACGATCTGATCTTGTCTATCTACTGGAACCATCAGTTCAACCAAGGATGTCACTTCTGGCACTGACGATTTCCAACGTCTAACCATTACCGGGTAAGATGTTGATATATGCATTTTTGCCCTTGTAACTTCTTCATCTGCAAAAAATGTTGCATTGTGTTCACACATGAAATGGACTTCTTAAAGATTTCCTAAATGTGCAAGTAAGAAAATTAAGAAAAAAAACAGACGAAAGAGAAAAAAACAAACAAGAAAAATAAACAAATAACAATAAGAAAATTTCCTGCAAATGCAATTAAGAAAAAAATTTGATGTTCGTTACACAGAGCACATCGAACCTGAGAGAATTTGTAAATACAAATTTTTGCTCCACTCGTGACCACGTCGGCCGAGCTGGTCACCCAGAAATAGTACCGGAGCTCCACCACCAACAATTACTTCTCGCAATCGTAACCTTTGAAATGACAGCAACATTATATCATATCAGAAAGGCAGTTTCAATAAATAAAATATAAAGCTCATATGAGCAAAGATAATCACTTTGATTGTTGTTTGTTTCTCTGCTTTTTACAGCATTATAATTCTAGAGGATAAGACTGAAAAGAATGGTATAATAACTAATAACTAATATCATAATTATTTTAATAACCAATACCATAATTATGGTATTATTTATTATTATAATGACTAATATCACAATTTACTTCCAAAAACCCATTTGTGATATATAACAACAGCAATTCTTCACATCCCGTAAACTATATAAGAGATGAAATAAATAAATCAAAACGAAGTGCCAGGAAATTTTAAACATAGGACAGCCTAATTTGCTTACTGGTTGAGATCGTACTTTGTGGCATACATCTTCTTCATCTGCTCTTGACAACGCATCAATAAAGTACGTATTAACATGTCGACAGTAACCGCAATACTGAATAATGTAGGCCACTTATCTTGCTGAAATCAATATATATATATTTTATTTATTTGTCTAGATAATGCTCGTAAATAATAATAAAATAACTTACATCAGCATTTTCACGATCAAATCTGATAATCCGCATCAATTTTTCATTTTCTTTCAATGGCGAACGCAATTTGATTGACAGCTGTAACACACATGCTATTTTTTCTTTAGTTCTCTTCAACTGTTCAAAAAATTTCTCTGAAGCTCGAAAACTACAGCTTTTAGCTTTTCTTACCAAAAATCCTGCATCTCCACAAGACAATAGTTGTTTAATCAGAAACAAAATATCATAATGCGATATTTCTTCGAAAAACTTTAAAAGATGGAGGACTACAACAATAACAAATGTATTGTATAAACTTCACTGACAATCCCTCCAAAAACCCCATCAATCTATTTTTATGACAGTTAATTTAATTCATATAATAAATTTGATTCACTCTATGAACAGCGTAGTAAGCGTCATGAATAGTTTCCGTTTCGTTAATAATACTTTCATAACCATCAGCATCTTCAGCACTATAATGTTTGAGAACAACAAATTCATTCGTATCGATTCCAATTACTGCTGATAACCATTTTTTCATGTGAATCACTAGCTGCCGATCGTCGACATCTACTTCCATGTCTAAATAAATGGCAATGTCATAAAACAGTTGCTTCAAAGCATTAGTTCCAATCCAAAATTGAGCAAAACGACTTTATAATAGATGATAACTAATAATCAAAGCTCAAAAATGATTAATCATGCGTTTTTTATTAACATTCTTTTAAGAATAAAATAAATTCTGGACCGTTTAAACTAACCATTAGATGATTTCATCCGTGATTTTCGAATGATAACATCAAAACTAGACTGTGTTGTTCCAGAAATGTATGTATGTGTGCCACCTACAAGCGTATCACTAGACGAGCCTGCAGTACTTGCCTCAACCTCTACTGTACTCTCCATTTCAAATAGCCGTTTTTGTTCTGAGGCTGCCATAACGGCATCATATGTCCGCTGAAAAATAGATATTAAAATATATGAAAAATAAAATAAAATGATTCGATCTCCTATAGAACTTCAAAGAGATCGAACTAAATTTACAATGAAAGTTTACTTCATAACGGCTTATTCGATCAACAGCTGAATCTCTGGTAGTAATATCAGCAGTATCATCGCTATCAGATACAACCGGTGATACCATCGGAGTACACGTCGTGCTTACAGAATCCATATCACCATCACCGTCCTTAATTTTCATATACAATAACATCAACAAAAACAAATTTCGAAATCCAATTACTGTGTTACCGAACACCTCATACGAACAAGCACACTAATATTATAAGTGGAATCAACCAGAACTTAACAGGAGTGGGTCCCATCGCAAAGTACTTTCAGAAATTAAACTGCCGTGACCTGTATACAGTTCACATTAGGAGACCAGTTTACTGAATGACTCGCAATTCAACGTTTACAATTTCTACCTTACGGAACATGCAATCACAGAATTAATATGATAATCTAATTATCTAAAAATGAATCACGAAAAAGTGGTGGTTTTTGTGATTTCGCCAACATTACTTACCAAGCATGGCCCACTATTGTCTTCTTCAGAAATTATCGATGACAAATGACTACTGGCCATTGAAGGAGTTGTTTGCTTCATGGTAAGTGTTTCTGGTATACCTGAAGTAGGAACACTGTGTAAGTCAATAACTGTTGAACAAGATCCCGAAGATGTTGTTGTGTTCGTGTCAGCAGGCATACTTCCTATCGGCGTTGTCGAACGACTAGTATCATGCGAAACTGGTGGAATAATTCCAGCTTGCACATAGTCATCTAAATAAGTCTAATTAAAATCCAACATGAAATATGCTGACTGAAAGCACAGATATGAATATAAGTGGTTTTTATATTTCAAACAACGCAACGTTTTTTTTTATAAAACAAGCAGAAAAAGAAAACGTGATTACATTTTCTGCGTAAAATATGTGAGTGAGCAAAAAAAACCTGGTGTAGGAAGAGTTATCATCAATATCTTCGCATGATTTTTTCTTTCCAAAAGTGAGAACATTTTTGATTGATCAAAATCGATTTTTCGATCTTCATCTGTTGCATATCCATCCCCACCAGCGTCCACATACAGCTAAATATGAGTAAAAATGGGAATAATTACTCTGGAAAATACATAATTTCCGGTAACTTCACACGCTTACCTTAACATTTGTAACGTTAAGTAGAGCTTGTGCACAGGTAAAACTGTCATCATCGAGTAACACCATTGTCGGTGATGCAGCAATTCCTCTATCAACTACCAAGCGCAGGTTGTGGGTCTTGTCTTCACAAAGATGGAAAATCTAGGAAAAATTTATTTTTTAGCATAATGCAGAATTTTTAATAAAATCGCTAAAAAAATCTATTTTGATAATAACCGATCAATCATCCAAGTATAATATGAAGATAGCTGATACCTGTCCCAATTTCTGTTTTATCATACTCATTGTTTCGTTATCATGATATTGCATTTGAAATGCTGGCAGGAAGGTCCCATTTTCAATGTTAAGAGCAATTAATTTTACTGTGCCAACGGATTCTTCCTCATAAATATGATAAAATTGTTCTGTTTCAGACAATTTTACATCTAAGAGAAAATACACGATTGGACGGTATAAGCTTTTCGCAGAACACCCGGGACATATTTCTTCCAGTGTCTGAAATTTTCTTGTTTATTACTTTGGCAATTTTCCAATTTCTTTCTTTCTTAATATATTGTTTCTAAAGATTATTCAGGAAAGTCAAGCAGGCAAATTACAGCAAATGGATCTTTATATACATAATGGATAAGCAATCGCAGCTTATATCGAAAGAATATGAAAACAAAAAAATTAGACTCTTGATATTTTCACAAAGGATAAGAGTGCTTATTATTGCACTTTGTGGCGATCACCTTTTGCATTTCATTCTTCGTGAATGAACGTATAATCGAATAAGTGAAATCTTTGCACAATAGCAGACGAACGTTAGAAGCTGAAATTGAAATCTTAGCACAGAATGCTTGGAAAACTGTATCGTAAATTTTGGACAATTTCGCCGTGTAGGGGAATTTCATTGCTTCCGTTAGATTAGTAACGTCTGATATGATATGAGCTCCATTAAACATTGCGTTAACCTGAAACTGAGAGTCTTATATTCTAATATTAATAATAAGTCACAAACACTGAAGCATTTATAATTTGCCTGATCTTCGAATCTGTAATATAATTGTGAACAAAGTTAGATAGCTAAGCAGAAACAAACATATAAAATACTTTATAATCTATCAAGTTTTACCGAGACAAGCGATTCTCTGTATTGCTTTTCCCGAAGTTTCTCTTCTTCCTGCTCCTCAAATCGTCTCAAGCGTTCCAGAAGATGATCTGCTAACTCATCTGTTTTCACGAATCTTGCATTTCGTTTACGATCGATCTGCAAAAAATCCACCCTATTCCATTAAGAACTGTTAGCCTCGGTTTTTTTCATAACAAAAATGTCAAAGAAATAAAAATTGTTCCTGAATATCACTAATTCGCTTATAAGAAAAAAAAACCTGTCTATACATTAACATATAAGCGTTCGTGTTTCCTGACGACCACCCACCAGAAGATCCCCCAAATGTACGATGAATGTCTTCAATTGAAGCAGAGGTTACACTACTATCATTAAAGCAAAACCATTTGTCCTGATCCATATTTCTAAAAAAAAAGCAAAATAATGTTCCATCGACTAAAATGCCATGTATTAAAATCGAGAAAACTGCCCAACATCAGCATAGAATTAGTGGCAACTGTTTAAGACGTTCATACTACTGTTTTAGGACACAATGCTTCTAAAACAGGTACTATGAACATCTTAAATATTAATACTAGTATGCGATGTAATCTTTCACAAGAATCCAAAAATAATAATGATAAAAATTAATGCAAGGGACTTATTCGTTGTTTCTGAGAGCAATTTTCCTCAACAAATCTCAGCATTCCACAGAACAGACTATAAAGACCTAAAACTAACTTGATATATGCAAAATAATGGCCTCCTGAAGCACTTCCTTGATGGACCATAACGGAAAACAATTCATAGAGAAATGGACCATCTCTTTTAAGTAACATATCAACTTCTTGTTCGTCCAAATGACCATCGTTCTGCTCCGCACGAGACACTAAGTAATTAAGGCATTCTAATAGATTTTAAGCATACTGACTGTTGATAATTTAATCAGCGGGTTAAAAAGAATATCCTGTTCATCAGCGTTTCACAGGCCAACAATGTCTATAAACAGCACACAAACCACGTAATAAATAACTGAACATTTCTATAAATGAATTCATAACTTGTCGATTTTTTCGAAAATTGTTACCGTAATCACATAAATTTGGTTTTGATGCTGTCGGTTCATCTTTTTTCCTGTAATAATAAAACATAAGGGAAAGTTCAAAGACAATTATTTTGAACATTACATTATTGCAGCATTACACAACTATATGAAATAACAAAATATAAATATTCGACCAAACAACTGATGCAATAAGCAAAGAAAACCTTGGCATTGAGACTGCTGATGCCCAACTCATCTTCTTCGGTGGTTCACTTTTTGTTGCGTCGTAAACGAATTCATTCAAATTGAGTAATGCCGGGAATGTCATCCTAAAATAATTTAACATCTCCTTAGGAAATCAATGGATTAAAAAACCAACATAAATCACGATATAAACGACGGTATTAAAGAAAAAACAAAAAAAACGCACTTGTCATTTAATTTGATGCGATGAAGTGTGTTGCAATCAAAATCAAAACGTTTAAGTTGGATTGAAAGCAAATACGGGAATTTTATTATTCGCAAACCCTATAATTGATTTCGTACTAAAATATGAATTAATTATGAAAAAGGTAGAAAGATATCTAATATTATTAGTTTGGTACAAATTTTTTTCCCTTTAGTGCAAGCTTGACCTAACATCATATATTATTGTTAAATGAACCAAGAAAGAAGATACTATAATTTTCAGGAGAATAATATGCTGTCAGGAGCAAGATCTTAAATGCAGAAATATGCTCACCAAAGAGTCCAGAATAACTAAGCACGACATGTATTAGAAAATGAGTTTATTTCATTTAATTATTATCAACTTTTTAATCTTAGAACTTAGCTTAAATTCTTTCAAAACATTCGACAAATTTGTCGGAAAAATTCAAGTACGGTTAAGCCATCTCCCAAGCTTTCACCTTTCTAAATATCTTACTTTCAATGCATTCTGCTTTTTTCTGCATCCTTCGCAATAATACTGATTGCTTCCTTCCAATACCTCAGGCTTGATAAATGCATGCAGTGCTTCTTCCTATAAAAGTTGATTCAACGCATCAAATAATCAGTGGAAACAAGTCATTACACAATATACATATTCAAAGCTTACCACACTTTTGAAAGCATCGCTGGCACCAAACTGCTTCACTGCTAATGGCAAATCCAGAAATTCATCCTGCTTAACATTTTCCTTTTGACAGAAAAGACATTTGACAAAATCCTCCATATTACCCCTCAAAACCGTTCTACATTATTATAAAATTTTAAATCTTTGAAGCAAAAAAAGTAAAATATTTAGGTGTTACTTAACAAAAGTTTCTCCGTTTTACCTATATAGCTCTTGAAAGCTAGCGTCTGCTTTGCTCCATTTCTGTTTCAGCGCATCAAACATTATTCTGCATAACTCCTGGATGTCATGTTGCTCGTAAGCTATAAGAAAAATAAACTTCACATGAGAAAAAGAAATAATGAATTTTTTTAGCGTTTACAGGATAATTAAAGCACAAAATACAACCAACGGAAGTCAATTATTAAAAAAGAGACCCGAAAGTTTTCAAGAAAAAAATGAAGCAGAATCCAAACAATATGAAAGCTTACCCTCCGAATTACTCCAACCAAAAGAGGCAGTCAAATCAATGGTTTCCAACGATTCACGATCACTAGTTTGTAGTAGCAAAAATAATTTTTGTAGCTGGCATGGAATACTTCTAGCTTCCGCAGCTTCAGAACCGGTGAACTTCCATCTATAAATACAACTTTAAAATATTAGCAAAGTGACGAAATATTTCAGTCATGCCGACTTCACTTTTTTATTGAAAATGAAGAATCTAACTCCTAATTTTTTCACTTACCCATAGATAGCATTTCGGAATTCAGGTGTCATATAAAGTGTTTGTATCAATGAATTCAGATAACAAGTCATTGCTTGATTGACTAAACCAACATAGCAATGATTGTTGTCGTCTAAATTACTCAACGGTCCAGTTGTATCCATTGTCGGGAGAACAGGTAATGTCAATAAAACTTCCGAATCTGCATTTGCAATAAAATATAAATTTGGCAAACGCATATTACTTCAAAATCATACTTCAAAATCTAAGAAAAACTGAGTAGCATCTGCTATCAATAGCTCCTTATGTAATCCGATGAAATATGAGAAAAATGTGATTTAGACCAAAATTAATCCAGATCGAGAGATTTTAAATTTGAAGTCAGAGAAAATTTTTTTGAAAAATGAAAACTGCTCACTCAAATCAGGAGCTTCAGTGGCAATCTGATTGGAAACATTCGAAGTGGACGGCTCGCAGGACATATTTTTCGGAGGAGAGCGATTTATATCACCACCTATTATACATAGCAATTTTTTTATATATCACCATCTATTATACATAGCATTATACATAGCAATAATTGAGCAGAAGTTCTAAAATTATTTTATGCAAAGTAAGTTTAGTACTATGAAAAAGAAAATTTCGAGAGCTAATTTTCTGCAATAATTTTATGCAATAGGTTATTTTCAAATGAATCCCTTATTCAAGGCAAAAAGCACTATATGACTAGCTTGCCGATACTTGCTTTGATCTCTAGATTAAGGGATCAAAGCAAGCATCGACAAGGTGGTCATATAGTGCGTTTTTCATATAGTGCTTTTTGAATAAGTGAGTTTTAATCTCTACTCTTTTTTAAAGTGAAGAAGTCAAAAACTCTAAAAAAGAATTATCTAGGCAGGGGAGAACTATTATTTTAGTTTATCATGAATTTCATAAATAAAATTCATCTTACCAGGTAATGATGGTCCATTAAAGATTAGAGGGCATAGACTTGTATTGGAATTGCTGGAACCTGTAGTGGATGATCTGATATAATCTGAAGTACCGCTTTGTTCACGCAGTGTTTTGCAGCCATATCGACGTTTGCTTGATGTACCTTTTGACATCACAGTTAACCAATTATTTCACTATGATAATCTTATCCAACAACTAACTGAAACATTGGAAATTTGACCATCTTTAAAGCAAAAAATTATAGTTATTAAACCTAACCCTTCGTTTTATACCCAAAAAGTATATATATTTGACATTCGGAAAAAGGATATTAGCGTAAGATATTTAATCATTTATTAGATTCGTCAATAATGAAATAAAATATTGTGCCAACATGATCCGTTTGTCTTAGACTATATTGGCAAAATATTTTCTCGTCTTGTCGAAATACGAAGCACAGTAAACCAAATACTAAGTGCACTTAGACCCAAGAGAAATAAGGCTTAGGTTAACTTTAGGTATTATTCAATTCTTATCAGCTTCTTCCCTACATTCACAAAGAATTGGAACATCTAACGAAGAGTAATTTGTGTGAGGTGTAGTGTACAAGATGATTTTACAATCTTCATATTTGATGATATATATCCCTTACAACGAAAAGTATATCTCTTTCTCTCTTTTAAATGATGTGCTGCTTCTGCAGTGATTCCCAAATGGTATTTGGAACTATATTTTACATTTTGTGATGCTTTTTCATTAAGTATTTCCTTCCCAAAACGGTATTTGACTCAATACAAATCAAAACTACCCCAAACAATTAGTGTCCTAAATTCTGCCTACCAACGCCTTGACCTCCTAAACGTACAGCAGCTATCATCACAATTCAACAGAGATACAATTTTGGACATTATGCTACACAAATTATCCATTGCGTAGGTGATGGTGAGAAGGTTTACCGTGCACTGCGCACATCGGCAACGCGAAGATGACGTGGTGATTTATAGAAATTTGTTATTTTGCACATAGATCTCTCGCTATTGTCATCGAGAGAACAGGAAGATGTAATTAATGTTGATGTCCTTATTAATATCAGTTAAATTGATGGATTATAAGAATATCCTAATTCCTCTACAAGCCTACAGGTATTGGGTTGAGAAGGGCTGCTGAATTCATTTAATCACCTCTTTATAATCTCACAGTTTATGGGCCTGTTGTTTATATATACCTATACTAGTAAATTATGTTAGACAAATTCACCAGTCCAATTTTAAAACTGAAATATACTGTTAAGGTGTTGCTCAACTATCAATAAGTCATTTATTCTGTTCTACCAATCGAACAGGAAAATATATTCTATCAAACAAATGGAAAGTCAATTTTTTTGCGTGAAAAAAGAAAGCATAATAAAAGGGAAAGGAAGAAAAAAAGAGTTGAAAATGAAAAAGAACAAGCTTAATCCACTCAGTATAGCCAAATTTTAGTGTTTCCCTCCAATGAATGGTCAGAGCTTGAAGAGCGTTTTCTTTTTTGCAGAATAACAAAGCAGTTGGATGAATTCAAAAAAGACTTATTTTTTTGAGAAAGTTCAAAATGATTGATAGAAAGCTTAAGAGACTAATAATGGGACAAGTATGTCTCAACACAGACGATTCGATCAGCTTCCGTCTCCAACTAAACTTTACACTATTCCTGTTGTTCATTTATTCTATATTATATATACACACTGGAAGAAATTTTCTAGTCAACTGGTTCATTTCCAAGAAAAGACAAAATATTTGACTGAAATCAAATTTTGCCAATCAATTTATCCAATTCGATTTCACATTTTCATTGAATTATTCTGAATATCAAAAATTCGGAAGAAAAAAAAAGACTTGTCAAAATTTAAGATTTTCTACATCCTACAAAGATCTTTGTCTTTTTCGTTTCTGTTTTCCTCTCTTTCTTTTGACATCGTATAATCTATTAATTCAATTTTTATTCTGATAATAAAGTAACAACTGCAAGATAATTTTGATGAGAAAACAAAAGCGCTCTCGCATCGGAAAAAATTGCATAGAATATGTTGCTCCAACCAATTCCAGATTACTGGAATGGGAAATTTTCAGTTCATCTAAAAATTTTGACACAAAGTCATTTTCTTTTCTTCAAAATAGTAAGAATGAGTAGAATAAAGTTCAAGTTAGAAAAAAAACCTCTTCATAGTTACACGCAACTTTCAATTAATAATGCATAGAACATGAAAGGAGCATCTAATCAAAAATCTAGATTTCATTTAATTAAGCAAAATTTGAATCATGGGACTTCTTTTTCGCTTCACGGTAAAAGCCTCTCCCTTTCATACATCTCGAAGAAAACCTAATCTTTTAAAACATTAAGAACTTTAAGTCTTCATAATTTCTTATAGACCTTGTTAATTTTAAACGCTGAAAATGTTGCTTAGTGATGCTATGCTGCTAGTTGAAAATATATGAAGTCAAAATGAAATTGAACAAAACAGTATGTATGATTGTCATCCAGAACTTGCAGTCACGGAAAATTCATCGGTAAAGGGAGAAAGGAGCATCGCACACATCAACATAAACATAGCACAACCCATATAATGACATGCAATGATAAAAGCTCATTTCAACTTTTGAAAACTTAACGACATCTCGAGAAGAAACATATAATTATTCGGTTTCTGAATCATTTCATAACTATTTTGCTTTTTGTCCTGATGTAAAAAAAAAACACAATTTTAAGAAGGAAGAAAAGTAGCTCAGCTGATTAATTCTTATTAAACGATAGAAATGATTTCACATGAAACTGATGAACTCTTAAGCTGCTATTTAATAACATCGCTACAAAATCAGCCTTTTTTTCAATTATATATTAAAGTTCCACATCAGTGCTAACATAGAGTCAATCTACTGTAATATTGTCTTCATTTGACAAGCTAAGCGTAACCTGTGCTAACTTTTGCTTACATAGGGCTAGAGAAAGTAACCTTCCCTTACACTGGATTGGAAAAAATAAGCATTCCTTTCTCGATCCTTTTCAAGTATATAAGACTTTTACTAAGAAGATGTAAGTAATGAAAGCTAAAAACTAAGTTTGTGGAAGTTTACAGTTCAGTATCGCAGGATTCAACTCAGGTATAGATATAAACCTGCAATTTACTCGGATATAAATCGCTAATCCATCAAAAGCCTAAACAACAACTTTTGTTAGGCATGTGTTCATTTTTAAGAACTTAACTGATAAGTTCACAAGAAAAACTCGAAGGTCATGATATTGATTAAGACATTCATATCGATAACACTTTATCTAGGAGAAACTGGCTTTCCAAATGCACTAACATGCGTGAAACAACAGCTGAGATCTTTATTAGGAATGATACGAAATTCGACTTTAACCATGAACTGAATGAAAATAAGCTACAACTCTACTTGGATAAAAAGAATGATCTGATGTCTTTCTTATGTTCTTTCACTGGTTTGCTATTCAACGAATGGTACAATCGAATCATCTCCTCTGCATAGTCCCCTTCCGGTGTTTCCAGGATCATTGGTATACCGTCAAAGCGTGGATCAGCTATAAGATGACGAAAAGCTGCCACCTTCAGTTTGCCTTTACCAATATTTGCATGACGGTCCAATCTCGAACCAAGATCACCTAAATTTACCACCTCGCATTTGCTATACTAATAGAATCTACATGTCTGAATTTGCTCTTCAGTTTCTTGCGTCTCTAAATGATGATGCAACAGAATGCAGTTCTATGAATAGGTTCCTATCGGTATTTACTGCTCAGAATTCAGAATTATTTCACATTCAACAGAATAAGTTTACCCATCGAATCATTGATGTGAAAGGCGCGGAGATACTGCAGACCAATATTATTCTCAAATTCGGTAAAAGTTTCTTTATACTTGTCTTCCGATCGGATATCATAACCTAAATTTAGTAATACAAGCACTGATAACAATAATTTATAACTTTTCGAAATCTTTGTTACTCTATAAAAATATTTAATTCGAAAATTTAAGTTAAAAGCTTGTATGTCGAATAAAAGTTTAGAACAAAAATGAACGTTCAGCGACAACTTTTCTAACAAAACTATAGAAGTTTCTTTTTTGAAGAGAGAAACTTTGAATCATAGGGAATTGGATCCAGTATTACCAGAAGTCCAGCAACTTATAGTCTTGGAAATTCAATGTCAAGTCCATTCAGCTCATGTGTGTTTAGTCTCACAGTTACTACCGAATTGAATCTAATCTTCTGTTATATGTTTCATTTAAATGCGTTTTTACACAGAAAACAAAAGAGCATTTGGCACATTCATCCCTTCATGCATATGGTAATGTGGAAGAGCTAGCTTTGGAAAGTACCTCGCAAAATTAGAGAGAATTGAAATATTTAAAGTTGTGGTAAAGTTTTTATCGATGAACTACAATCAGATTAAATTTTTTTCTAACAAATTGTTAGCTTAAAATTAAATAAATATTATAAAACCAACCCGCAGCAAAAATATGACACGTATCAAGGCACACTCCTACTCGCTTCTTATTTTTAACCAAATTAATAATTTGTTGTAGCTCTTTGAATTTTCCACCAACAGTATTTCCCTGTCCAGCCATCGTTTCGATTACTAGAAAGCAAAAATTTCCTCGCAAAAAGTTTTGCAAAAATTAAAAAAAACCTTATATAACTTATTTAAATGAGAAAATAAGTGAAAGCAATTTTGTGTTTACTTTTCAAATAGTTCTCGTTAACTGCTTCCTATCAGAATAAAATTTCGGAAATTTGTCAGGTTCAAAAAAATGTTAAAAACAAACAAATTGTAATATATCCAGTATGATCCATAACATAATTCAAAGTAGCAGCAATTGTTTTGATGCATTCTTCACGTGTACATTTTCCTGCCGTAGATCCTAAAAATCAGTTGTAGAATACGCTGCAATATAAAACAAATTGGTGAGAAGCGGTCAATTATGTGATATATATCTTTTCCAAAAATTTACAATGTTATCCTGGAAGCATTTTCCTTAGGATTTTCTCATATAATTATGCTAGGGAAATTTCCTCAAATCATTCAACATGATGTCGATAATGATTACTTATCATAATGATGACACAATCGAGTTAAAGTAATATGAGGAAGAAAACGAGAAAGGATGAGACAGAAAGCCAATGCATGAAGGTTTGCGCTATTCTAGAGGGATTTGCTGGAATTCGATTGTACAATAAAAATAAAGCAAAATTTAAACATAAATATATATTTACCAGGATGAATATTGTAATAGACGATACCGAGCTGCTCACATCGTTTACATTCATCTAACATGCATGCTCGAGCTCGATTCAGTATTTCCATGTCACAACTACCACCATTTATCAAATATGACCCGTGCACAACAATTTGATCCATTGGAAATTCTAATTTCTATTGAAGAAAAAAAGAAATTAGTGCATGATCGAGAATATAATTCTATTGAAATACCAAAATGAAAAATTACATGAATTAACACATAATAGTGGATTATTTCTTGTGGCATCACATCGCTGAATAAACATACCTGTGCAGTTTCACGAAACGCATGCACCACTTCATCTTTCAACGGTGGACTATTCCATGAACGCTGATTCCGAACAAAAAAAGCAAAAGATCGGCATCCAATAGATATGGCGTTGTAGAAACTTTGTTCCAAACCGCCTGAAACACAATTTTTTTATACAGAATACAGTTAATGTACATCTCAAAGATTAATCTCAACGATAGTGCTTATAATGTACATAAAGCATATCCTACTATTTTGTTTAATATCTACAGATGGTCCAACTAAAAGACTTAATAAATCGTTTGTTTTCATTGCACGTTAATTTTTATCTGAAATTTCAACCAAAAGAATAAAAGAAACAATACCTGCTACACTGACATGAGCACCGAGCATTTTCTTAGATCCAGAAGCGGCTTCCATTACTTTTTGCGCGATGGGATATATCGATAAACTATCCTTCTTAGAAATTGCTTTAGCCAAATATTTTCGTTTTGGTACGGCAAAGTAGCCTAAAATATAAAGTATTTATAAAAACTTGTACTTAACCACATCTCGATTAAAGTGACTTTTATGGCAGAGCAGACAGTTAATGTCTCCTAAATCTATTTATAAAATATTTAAATTTTTCATTCCAACTAAAAAATTCTTGTCTAATTTCCCGTACTCCTAACAATGACAAGAGGCTGCCCTATCTACTCATAATACAATCAAAGCCACACCCAAGTTAACAGACATCTTTCCCACGTCAATAATGTCCTGCTTTGTTTCACTGGTGAAATCTGTTACTTCTGTCCATTTCCTAGTTCTCGTTCTACCGCTGTTATCGCATGATTCTTCCTTCTCCTTAATCAAATTCGCAGTCTTCCTTGACCTAGCTCGGATCGATTTCTGCTTAAACATCTCTTTCTTCCAATCATTCTCCTCCTGTAAAGCTGCTTGAACGCTCTTCAATTTGTCCGATTTATATCTTTTCTTAACTTCTGCTTCATGTATATCTTGTGGAATATCAGTGGAAGAAGTCATTCAAAGAAGAATTCAGTAATATACTTTAGAATGCACCTCTATATTGCCTGGTTCTTCTAGTTTCATTTCCATTTCGACACTCTTTCACTAACTGAAATTTATAGGATCAAAAAAAGTTATTCCTGAATTTTTAATTATTTCTCTACTACAGTTTGATCACCTTCATCAAGCATAACTTGCGGATGGATACCCCATAGACAATCCTTCAAAAAAAGTGCTTTTTTACTGATTGATAATGCAAAAGAAAAAAGCACATTAAAAAAATGCAATCACTACAGCAAAGATGAAAAAACCAACAAAATTTATATAAAAGAGGAACTAATGATTAAAAAGGGAGTGGAACTGAAATTCATTTATGTTCAAAATCAACTGGCATTTTTGTGAAACAGAAAAAGCTAGTCATTTTACTTACAAACTAACATAATAGTAAAATTAGATGTTTTTACAACAGGAAGAACAGATACAGATAACTTCCGGACATAAATGCTCTGTAAACATTGAAATCCCTTCAATATAATTAATTTTGTTCGAAGCCAAAAAGAACAAGAATCACTACAACCGCATGTAAATACATTTATAAGCATTATTTTGGTGTGTTTGGTTGGTGCAATTTTCACACTGACTAGAAATAACAACCAGAGTTTTATAAGACAGATATTCCTCACAAATTTCCCACGAATAAAAAACTTCATAAGAAAATGAACTAGACGTAAGAATTCTTGTAATTTAAAAACTGAGATGTTGAATTCAGTGCTGTCAAGTTTTCCGAATGAGGCGTAGATTTGCTGCTCCATAAGGTTTGTCTTTTCTGATTCATTTCGGAACGAAATTAATTAGACTTTTTTATAGAATATCATGATAAACGACGCATTCAGTTCATTTGTTTAACCATTGAATCACCAGCTTTTCCTGAAGATAATGTTCAACAATAGAAAACCAAGCTTCTCTATTACTCAGTCCAGTTGTTGTCATTTAAAATTCATCCCTACAACACTGTAATCAGCAAAGTACCTTTGGAATCTCATTGTTGCTTAATTTCATCTTGATCTGTTTGAAATGATTTATTTCCTGAAATAAGATTAGTTCATTTTTGCGACTTAGAAATATAACTGATTTAAAAATACAGCAACTCGATTCAAAACCTCCAAAAGCAGCAGACAAGTGAATGATCCGGAACTTGAGCTCTTCATCGAATGTAGCGAAAAGTAAACAACGACTAAGCGTAATCGTTACTCTTTGACAATATATATCTTTATTAGATAGGCACAAATGGAAAAGCCCGTTAATTTATTAAATTTTAGTAAAGAAAATTAATGCCGATTCAGTTAGTTATAAATTGTTTAAAAGAAAAACACAGGATAGGCGCTGATGTCGTTCAGGCAATCACGCAGAAATAATGAATGGTCTTTAAGAAATAATTTCTTTTCCTTTTTCTCGAAAGAAAAAGTTCCTAGTTTACTCTCTCAACGCCAGCTGACTAAAATTCTATTTCATAATTGTGTGAAATTCGAACCTTTTGAAATTATTAATGATTTGTAAAACCACGAGAATATAATAACTGTAATCATAATCCAATGTACGTGGAAATACACCGAGTTCCAGTAACGAATCGTATCACGCCACGTCAATAATAGAAATCCCGATGCCATCAATGCAAAGCCAAGTTGTCGTACCAAATACCAGCTACAACGAAATTATTAATACTAAAACATATGATAAGTTTTACAAAATTTAATATTAAAACATAAGTTTTATAAAATTCATATTTTAACTTATTTTGATTGTTATAATAACTATTATATCTTCAATTTTAATCCTTTTCTTTAGAATGATTTAAAAGAAAAATATCAGCATATAATTTCCCTTTTCGCCGTGACTTTTTTCATTTAAACTTCACAAGAAATGGTCTTCGCAAGGCAAAACAACAAGTTAATATCAGTTCTTCGATAATCCAGTGCAATGAAAATGAGAAAATTTTCTGATATTGAAACACATACAGAACACTATACCAAAGCGAAAATGAGATTTATTATATCTAGCCAAAATGAATGTCATTTTCATTCATTCTTCGACGTACTTCCTGATGTAATATACGATGTTATCTACTCATTATTAAAAAATCTGCTAAATCATTTAATGATATGTATGGAAGTTTTATACGGAATGCATTTACAAATGACTTACAAAACAGTGAACAGAAACGGTAATTTGCCATTACAGTCCTTTGGCACCAATGATAGGATACTGTCCTCTGCCAGTGTACAAAGAGGAACTGTGAGAAAGGATAGGAAATAACCCGGATGTATGCCATGCCAAAATGCACTCACTGACATTGTCAGTAACATTCTGAAATATCTCAACTACGAATGTTGTAAACTTCACAAAAAAGGAACAAAAGATCATAAATCAGCAAATGTTTTTCTTCGTTGAGAACTTATCTCTGATTTCATGTTCCGTCAGAAAGAAACTTCTACAAATAAATGACTTAACAGCACCCAAAAGATCGCGGCACACGTTTATACACATAGTTAGCAAGCCAGAATTGAACTGTACGGTTCCAAGCCCTCATACCACCTCGGAATGAAGCATTCAGTTCGATCGACCAAATATCCAAATTACGTACTGCTTCCGAATTATACCGTGTTTCCTTTTTATTCATTTGTTCTCTACAGCAATTCAATTATTATTTTGATTATAAGGGTTTTTTAAATTAATTCACTTCATGCTGACATCGCTATATATTTAATATTACAGTCCACTAATCTTTCAAGAAAGGTTTTACAAGATTGCAAAAAATCAGTTCGGCAATGGATTATAGATAAATAGTCACAAAAATATTATTTAGTTTAAATTTGAATAAGAAGTAATACTTTAAAATATCAATTCTATTGGGTCCTTTCCCAGCAGAGGGACAACTTTCCTCTGGATAAATTCCAATTCCATTCAGCACACAGATTGATTCAGCAACCATCCATGCACTATATACACGACATCGCATCCACAAAAATACTAGAAAACTAACTGATATTCGATAATAGACTGTTTCATCGAAAAATTCATCTTCGCGCATCATCTGTTAAAGAGATTTTGGCAATAACATCAAAAATCTTGGACAGGTAATCGCTAATACAAATATCATTTACTGTTTCTTAAGATAGATATAATGGATATGACTGTAATTCCAAAAATATTTAGTATCTTTGCTTCTCATAGATCAGCTACTGGATATTTCTTACCTAGCCCAGTGAGCAGTATGATATAACAAACCTGAAGTGGGAAAGCATATAAAAGCATAACAAAAGCAGGTAAAGACCAAGCAAAATTATATAAACGCCATTTAATATGTTCCCAAACAGATATTTCCATTATATTATCATTATCGACAACATCTCGGTACATAGCATATGTATAATATGGACCTTAAAAAATATAGAATTGTAAAAAACAAAAAAAACATAAAGACCTCAAAAACATGTAATATATCTGACTTCATGAAATCCGCCTTTGCAGAAGCTAAGAAAATAGATGATGTGGTAAAGGAACTTCTGTCAAAAACCTCGACATTCCTGAAATAATTTTAAACAACTGAGTTATGGAGCTCCGGCAGTTACGCAATTAATTGTGATATTCATTCATCGCAGTTGTAGGAAGTTCGTCGTGCAAAAGAAAAAACAGTTGGAATATGAAGTACAATTAAAGTTTCACTAATTCAACTAATTCTTATAGTAGACAAATTGAAGAAAAAATTATGCAATTTAATTTTGATTAAAAACTAAGCTGATTAAAGTGTCAAAGTATGAAGCATAAACACACCGGTAAAAAGGCCTGGGAAATTATATGAATATAAAAATGCCTGCCACCATGACGGCTGTTCAATGAACCGTGTTTTATTTGGATCGAATTTCATTTCATCTTTTCTTCTACTATCAGCAATTTCGAAACTTAGACCAATAAGCTGCAATCAATGGTTGCTGAGAAAACAATAAAGAGAGTTTTTTTTTAAACAAAATGTAATGTAGATAGAGATGAAGCCTTGCTCATATTTCTTGGTCAAATCATCTCTGCCAGCTATCGCTGAATATGTTGCAAATTGGAAAGAGAAAATATCAGAAAAAATATTTGTTTAAGATGAAACGTAAATGATTATTTCTGCTATGGAGTACCTTAAAATCATGATTCAAATAAAAACTAGAATAAGACATATATTTTTCTACCAATTATTCTTTACAATTATATCAGCAAAACCTGCAACAGTTGTACTGAATCATTCATGTTTCAAGCAAGAATAACACGTTTGTCAATGAGCTCTTTCCGTGATATTAGTGCATATAACACCAACTATAACATACTCTTAATGTCATAATTAGCTGAACGGCATTTGAATGTGAAACAAGAGCTGGAAAACCAATCAGATGTATAGCTCGAAGAAATCCCAAATAAACGAATGTGATGATGAAAGATACTAATGGCAAATACCTGGAAAATGATAACTCTAAATATGTACAGATAAATACTGCGAATCTCTCATAACTCACTCTCTGTGATGATACTATCAGAATCTGTGTATGTCTTTTCTGTAATTAATTTTGAAAACAAGTGATAAACTTAAGAATTACCGGTCTTTTATGATCGAATTTACAGCGATATTTATACTCACAATAAGCAGCGAATATAATAATTTCCAACCGATAAAATAGTAAATCAATGAAATACCTGTAAGCCCACCACATATTTCGCGTACTCTGCCCGAACGCACCTAAAATTTCGATTTTTTCGTGAACTATCCTTCTTAGTTTGAATATGCTAGTAATATCTTCTAATTAATTTCGGGATTTATATGGTTTATGTTTGAGCTTTACCAGAAGTTACAAAACCAACCAAAGAAACTTATATTTCTGGAGTGTTGGGTAAAAAAATTACCTGTCGCATAAGCAGAGAGAAAAAAAAAGAAATAATAAGTAATTCACTATAGATTAAGTCATCTATTCTTTCCATCAACAATTCAGATAAAGCTTCCACCATACTGATTTTCGTTTGATTTATCGTTGAAACTGATCCAGAAATCATTAAAATCAATACTAAGAAACCTGCAACTATGATCCAAATAAATGTAATTTCTAGCGAACGATAAACAACATACAGCAATAAAAGACAAATTAATTTATTTTGATTATACGTTTTTTTCAACTTCATCATTTCAGTGATTCATTTGTTATTGTTTTGCATAGATAAATGTCTTCGATTTTATATTGGAAAGTGCTCATATGTGGAACAATTGCACCTCACGTATGCCCATTCCCATACGATAATCACCATTAAAAAAGCCATCATATCCAATAAGTGCTTCAAAACTTGTGCGACTAACCGGTGAGTTCTCATCGTCAAGAAATCTAAAATTTTCAAAAGGTAACTTTTGTCTAGCTTATAAACTCAAACTGTTCTACAAAAATTTTTAAATTAATTTCTTGAAGATCAATGTGCTTATCCAACAGAAGAAAGAGCATTCTTTCTTTCCTATATCAGTATCAACTAAAATTCATATTCTTCCAAATTTGAAAAAGAATTTTGAAAGCCTTGCAAAAGTAGCTTTGCAAATTAAAAACCAAGCGCTTCTTTCCAGAAATATCGCCAGATTTCAAAACCGGAATTTTTTATAGCATGCCTTAAAGGATTTGCCAAGAAAAATAATGAAATTAAAGATATGCTGCAAATAATTTATATGAAAAATGAGAAAATTAAGATAGAAAAATTTTAACTCTGCAAAACCATTCCCTGATCCGAAACTTATTTTCACCGAAAATCACTTCGTAAATTTTGGCAATCTCCTTATTCAACCATTTTGATCTCATTTCTATTTTACTTCACTGATGGATGAACGTCTGCACAACGCTCAAAAAACATTTACACACAAATCCTGACTCCGAGATAAGTAAGTATTCCGTAAAAGTTGTTACGATTCCTAGGGACCCTTTTTTGAGAAATCTTTTCTGGTGATCTTGTGGAAATCATAGTAAATAAATTTTTTGTTAGCATATATGGCAATTCTGGATATTTTGAAACATACAGAATCACAATAAAATATTAAAAACCCAACAAAAAAAACAGTGAATGTAACGATGCATTAAATTTTTGTGAAAGAAAGACGTCAGATCAAAGAAAGAAATACAACAGGTAAAGATTTTTAAACTATGTTAATAAGGAGAACAAAGATAATTATTGAGTAGGAATGAAATGGAGAGAATGCATAGATGTTGTTTCCGCACTTCTGCATTGCGCGACATTTTCAGCTTCCAATGTTTGCAGAGCTAATTAATAATCCAAGAAGGCTAAATAAACAGCTTTATCTGTAGGAACTTTTCTGAATCTTTGAGACTGTAAAATCCGAAAATAGCATATTGAAAAAAAGAAGAGAGATATTTCAGATAACTATTTAACTGATTTATTCAATCCCGCTGATTAAAAAAAATTATTTTGAATTTGTCCGGAAAATTAGAAAACTAAAACTTCTTATACATACAACTGTATTCTGCTTTGCTTCTGGAATATAAATGATTTTTCTTGATCATTTTTTTCCCTTCCTTCTCCCCTCTTCCCTTATAACGGAAGATTGCTTGAATTTTTTTCCGCTCAATTTACATAGAAAAAGTAGTTGAATATGAAATATAATTTGATTAAAAAAACACAACTTTCATCAATTTTATAGAACGAAACATAAAAAGTTGCACAAATGCTTGTAAAAATGCAGTGTCTCAAATTACAATATGAACATTTTTTGCAAGGAATGTCGGAACTACCTCAAAACCGGTAATGTTTCAGTGCAACTTTCATCGAAGTACTCTTTCAATCTTCCATTACTGTTCATTCTTGACTTCTCCTTGCGACCATATCAAATCTTCTGAAAATTACCATTTCTTGCCATATGTTACAAAATATTCGCAACTATGAAGTATTTCATGTATATAATTGAGCATTTTTTACACAAATTAGCCAATGTCAAGTAGAAAGTAGTTCGCATATTAGTGGAGCAGCCGTTGAAAGTCAGTAGTGCATGGTTAGAAAGGTTAAAAATAGCGTTAGAGAAGGAGAAAAATAGTATATTAAAGACAAGCTATCAATATCCAATCTCGAGAAAGTTTTGGGGCTGGTGTTAAGGCAGTCTTCTTATAATTTCTAGAAGGTGTGTGTTCACGTAAACCCCTGCTATAATTCAGTCCCCAGCCAACAACGTAGCACTTTTCTTCGGGGAGTGTCCGTGAGTACAAAGAGGTTCGTCCATCTCACCATTTCATTGCACGTGTGACACGTGAGAGGTGGTGGGTGACCAATGAAGGTGAAGGCAGTGCCGGCTACTATGACACGAACAGATCTCCCTCATCGTGGATGGGATTGACGAGAAAGCTTCCACAGTATTTATTTTCATTTAAAATAAATGTACCGTGTCAAATAAATTCGTGATTGTCTTCCCTGCTGTGATGTCATTCAGTTGACGACAGTGTCCCGAAAAGGAGTCACTTTGTTCAATACCGATGAGAGGATCAGTTAACTTTCAAAAAATTAACGCTCCTTTGGAGTAAAATCAATCGATCTATAATTGCATCGTACAAACTTGTTAATTCTAAAATAATGTCGTCATTCGACCGTTTGTATAATCATTTTTTTTTTCAAATAAAACAAAATTATCACATTTAAACGTGCAAATATAGTACAATTATCGTAAAAATCACAGAGAAGAGAAAAGCAATTTCTGAAAGAATTAGCATATTGTTGCTTCAAAACAGTATTTCACAATCTACAGCCAATAAACCAACAATATCTAATTGCTGATCAAATAATCAAAACATCAGATAGTATTATGCCAAAATAAAAGTTGTTCGGACTTTTTTTTGTTCTTCAAGCACATTCATTGAAATCAATTCACCGAAGAAATAAAAATTAACTTCAAGATGACGAACAAATTCCGGAATGAATGATGGATAGGAGTAAAGGACAGCTAAAGAATATCATTATCATTGAGCTGAAGCAATTTCATTTGCGAATGCACCCAGCCAGTAACGGCACTAATTTTGGCATACACTCCAGGAATATTGTTCCGACCGCATCCATGACCCCAACTGACCACTCCCTGCAGTTCCCATCTTTGACGCATACGACTGTAACACACCAACGGACCACCTGAATCACCCTGAAGAACATGTAAACTAGGATTGAAGTCATTTAATGGAAGATAGACATTCCCTTAATCGGTTTAAGGATCGTAGCTCTTGGTATTATTACATCTCATTCTCATTTCAAATATTCTTCCTTAGCAGAAAGGGAACAAAAAAAAGAAACCTGACAAGCATCAGCACCACCGGAACCGGCACAAAGCATAGACAAAGGATCCACGCGGCCGAAATAATGCAAAATACTATTACAAATAACAATCGGTATGATTGGAACGTTTATCTCACGTAACTTCGACGAAAAACTACCACTTTCTTCTTGAAAACCCCATCCTGTAAAAATATCACACCATAATTATGCGGAACCAAATGAACCGCGGTAAGTTCAAGAAACCGACAAGCGTAAGCGCGACATTCCCGCATCAAATGATTTTCTCTCCTTTTATATTACGTTCAATGAACAATAGTATTTGTACCTGTAACAATGCAATTGTCTGCTGTTGATGGCTCCAACATCGGTAAACATATTGGTAGCACATCTTGGCTGAAGTTTAATTTTCCATGCAGCCTAAATAATGCTAAACTATTACGGGAGATGTAGAATATTCTGATAATAGGTTGAAGTTTCCCGAATCTTCCAAAGATTAATGTTTTGGATTACTGAGGTGAAATAATCAACAATGTTAGCCTAACCAATGACATTTCCATCTCATTTAATAATTGATGGGAATATCTTCACCTGGCAACGGCAACATCAAATGAACTTGGCATGAGAACATTAAATAACGGATGTATTGAAATGTTGCGAATCTCATAGCTCTTTCCGGATCCAATTTCATGTCCACCGATGAGAACTGCATAACGTGCTGGATTACGACTAAAAACAAATCATTAATTTTGCTATTTAGCTTTTTTATGGTTTCTTTTTTTGACACTGATATTAAGTCTTCTGATAACATTTTATTATTTCCAACAGAATTAAAAATCTATTAATGTTAATAAGATTACCTATTAATATTTGTGGTTTCTTAAATCAGTTCGATCATATATTTTGCTCAAGATTAAATAGAATGCACAAAGGACAAGAAGTGAACCTTCGAGAGAAGCAATGTGCAGCAGTGATAACGATATCATCAGTCAGAAGTGCCGCACCACATCGATGAATCTTTGTTTCGGTGTAAATCAACTGCACAGTCCAGGGCCATATATGTGGTGTCGACTCGTTACCTCCAACCACACGACGTTCATTCTGCTACAACTCCCGTCAGTATATTCCAGGTGCAACAATTTCTCGGAAGATTAACAACTTGACAGAAAACGAATATGCAAAAAAGAAAGGGTACATTTTGCTGTAAAGTCAAATATTCCCGTTGTTTCACGATTTATTAGAAAACTAAAGTAAACATTTCTAATTAGTCCTGCATTTCAAAGGAAAAAGACCGGCATAAATAAACTTACAGTGATAAGTTTACCATTATCGATAAGATTATCTAAATTGTGAGAACGACCGCAAATTTCTGCATTTTCTAATTGCGAATTTACAAATTCAATTAGCAATAAAATTAACACTTGAAAGTTTCGCATTTATAATCTACAAATGATTGAATACTAATTAGAGATTATAATTAAGCAATACTTCAAGCTAATGAAGCATAAGAAACTTCGTCTTATAAAAAGGATTGTTGTTCTTTGTAACGTACCCAAAAAGCAGAAAGCCACAAGAAAGATAAGATTAGTTTCCAGAAGAATAACTGAACTTCTAAAATACGATCATATCAGGCAGATCAGATGCCATTTCTTTTTTTCGCTAATTAGCATTCTTTGATAGCTCAGTTCGAATATTTCGTTTTTCCTTCGTCCAACATCAATGATCCTGTCAAATTTCACATCAAAGAATTCCTTCGAGAAATTTTGAACTTTTTCCTTTTTTTGGCAAGAAATATTATTTGACGAAATAATGCCACTACGGTAGAAAGCGATGTTGAAATCAAGGAAAAACGTTGCAAAGAAAAATGTTAAAGGTTAAAGCAATTCTGTTTCATTTGGGGAAAATAAAAATTACATATTTCATACTTCCTCACTGAATCCCAATTCATCCATTTGAAGTAAAATTGAGCTTTCAATTACTTTTCTTCCAATCACAAAAAGTGTCAAATTATTGAATGTTAAGTATCAGTTTCTGCTGTATAATGACAAAGGATTCAGGCTCTTCTTCTTACACGTAATAAGCCTGCAATTTTCTTTTCATGTTCAATCGATAGTTTTCCTAAATCATCAATGGTATTTCCTGATGAAAAACCACTGAATAAAATGAAAGTACAATAAATCTTTTAAATGCTTATAATAATTTGAGAGGCATTATCGCATTTAGTTAAGACGGAGTGAGGAAAGTTTTGTCACTTTCATGGCCACATGTGAAATTCGATGATACTCAAAGGAAGCACATCGTTGCTAAGTGATAGGCAGGTATTCCGAGGTATGCAGGCTTCCCTTTTCTAGCAACGAGTAGATTCAACAGTTCACAGAGGAATTTCTAGTCGGATGTGAAAGAGATTAGGAGAAACGAGTATTTGGTTTTAACTACCTTTACATTGGTAACTCATTCTTTTCCCAAAAAGGTTCAACAATTTAAAGGCAAATATCGTGCTAATAAGATTTAAAAACAATCTTTACTAATCAATTAGCGTGTTTCAATAATAATATGATCCTGAAACTGGAATAATTTACTTCCGGTTGTATTTTCGAAAGAAGGAAGTCTGAACTATAGCATTTAAATACATGACTAAAGGCATCCTTAAGGATACATTAAGGATACATCAACAAAACGCACAGCAAATACAACAAAAGTAAAGAAAAGTGTTAATGATTAAAAATTAATCGATACTGGTGTCTTAAGATGGGAATAAATTAATGATTGATAAATTAAAAATTTAGTTTGCAGCAACAAGAACAGCAAATAATTCAGTGATGATAGAGGAACAACTAATCGTTTCCATTATAATATAACGCACACACTGATCCATCCATCTGAATAATGATTGAGAATTGAGAATTCGTAATGGTTGTATTGAATTCGGCTCATTTCGAATGTACAAATATTCTCTACTAATAGAAGGACATAAATTGCATTATTAATGTACGATCTTACTGTTACGGCGGCAATTTCATTGTAATTTGAATGCCAACTAAAATCGTAGATTTCACCGTTGTCATTGCAGAAAATTCAACGATTTCACTGATCAGAATATCAAAAACTAAAAGTAAATGAGGTGTAATCTGCGAGGTTGCAAGCAAATTTCACAGTGTAAATGAAAAAGTGTTGAATGAAAACTCACTGTAAAGCGAGAGAACCAGTACAGATGTAGCTGTTCCCGGTGCATTCTGATGAAAATTTGGCTCGCCAAAACATTTCTATCACGTCGGATCTTCTCAGATTCAATGCTAATATTATATATTATTTAAATATAAGCTAATGTATGAAAATTGACATTCTTATTTTATTTCATTCTTCCATTACTACTAACACTTTCTCTTCAAGTGGAATATAAATTTTGAAAGAATGATCAGTATCAAGACATGGAATTATTTCACATAGACTCTGTTCTCGCTGTCGCATATCAAATGAAAGATTCTCGAAAAAGATTGTTCAATGATTTACTGAATAGACTAGCGAGGAAAAAATTTTACAACACTAAATCATAAAATAGCACCCATTGCCATTTAGGAAGTTCACAAAAAATAACAAAATCATTTGAGTACAAAAATATTCCATCTACAAAAAAGGCATTTATTTTGAATTGACCCCAGATTTTCTTTTCCTGATTGAATTATCAGGAGTGATAATACAGCTGCTATCCGCATGCTGAAACGAGTTAATTCTATTTAACTTCCATTTATTAAATTATGTAACAAATTTTCACTTCAGAAAATCGGCGTAAATCCCAAATATTAAGTGTTACACCGAAAGAGGTCGTTACCAAATGCCTATCGTAGCTGTCTATACTTTCTTCATTTCTAGCGGACATCGGAGATTACTGCAAAGTGCGCGGTCATCCCATACTTGAACATGATAATTTTAATTGTTTGTACAGCAATCACTATCCTATCAATAAAGCACTTCCATCCTTAACTTAACCTTTTCCCAACGATTTTTAAACCGTCCCTTCACAAATTCATTTGTTACTAAGAACAAATCAATCACCTTACATAGTCCATCAGCACCAGCAGTAGAGAAAATATGCGGGTTACCTTTAAAGCAATGAATAGAATGAATGATACTGTGATGTGCAGAATACCGAAATCAATCTTCAGATTTAATTTTTCATATTATCACTGTATCTGAAGTTTAAAAAGCATAAAATGAGGTTGCTTTAATTAAGCGAATGTGGGGAATTCTTGAAAGCTCATATGCGTTACTATTAAAATCGGGAAATACACTGAGTAATGAATCAGTTCATTGGCACTAATAGTGCTCACACGACCGCCGCCTCTTCCAATTAGCATATATGCGTCGTCCATTGTGTGCGGGTCCCTTGGAATAGAAAATGAATTAATTGCTTGAATGAAACTGGAAATTGTCAAGGACTGAATGGACATGAAAGAGCATACCAACCAGTTACTGGTTCTTGGATACAAATCTGCGTGAAATCTGTGCCAAACTTCTTCTTCGCTAATTTCATTAATCGAACAATAATAAACTATACGATCAAGCAGCGGAAATTAGCTTGTAACGTCAAATTTCTCTCCCCTATTCATTTCCTTCTATTCATAACACATCTTTTTCTTCTTAAGTTCTTCCTACACTTCTCCATGAAATGTCGATAAAATGAATAAATAAGAAAGTACCACACTCATTGCTTGTTGTGTAAGCAAGTTGGTCACCCTTTGAATTACGGGTAAAGTCAGTAACAAATCCCTTCAGGCCAGTAACATGAAATTTGTCCACCAAACGATAACCTTCTGATTGTCGCGCAAAAAAGGATAAGTTCTTTTCTGAAATAACTTTTTGAAGTTATCAAAAGCTAACGGATCAAAAAGTACGTTTTTTGAATAACTTAATGTTTGTTGGTCAAATTTCATTGATAAATCTCGCCTAATAACTGTAAAAGGTTAGTTCGTCCCATTAATTTAAGGTTGCTGGATTCAGAATCTAAGATGTTTTAGGAATCAAGTACAATTAATTCACGCTCTTCATGCTGATAGTTTTTATTTGGTTGATATTACGTATTTTCTTAAGTGTATTCCATTAAAGATGAACAAAAAATATTAATGACAGACAAAATACTACCTTGACCTAAAGAAACCAATCTTTCCTTCGGCAAGTGTGGACAACGGCGCTATTCGGAAAAAGTCTCTGTTATTTCAGTTTCTCGATTCGGAAGAAATCTAAAATTGATAATAAAGTTCAGATAAAGAAATAAAAGAATGTATATGATAAACGGAAATGGAAGAAATGATGTGGAAAATGATAACAAGTCACGCTAAGGCGTGGTGTGACGTGACGTGACCATTTGCTTGGATTTAATTTTTGCAATACAAAAAATGGCTTTTTTTGCTAATCAAAAATTAAAATAAGTATGATAGAAGCATTAACCTGTTGACAAGGCTAACTTTCTGAGTTGATGTGAAAAAACCGTATTTATTTGGCGTATATGATATAAAATAATTTATTGGCCTCATGCATGTACCTAATTCACGATCTTTAATCATTCTTCCAATAGACATTTCAGGCAGATAAGCATCTGATTGAGATATTATCCATTTTTTTAAATCGATTTCACACTGAAAAGCAAAATTTCATTGAACATTTCGTAAAATTTTAATTGAAAACAAAACATTAAACCAAACATACCACTAACATACAACATTCCACCAAATATACAACTGACTTTATTTGCATTCCTGCCATCCGTCAATAATACTGATTATTTGATCTGATCTTTGCTGATTGATCCAAACTCGCTTTCTCGATGGTTCCAAAAGAATTGCGCGTGCAGAAAAGCATTAATTATCTGCAATTGTTTGCATCTATGATTTTAAAGACAAGCCACGAACTAATCCTTTCTTCATGTGATTGCAAATATTTTACTGTTCTTACTTGAAGAATTTAGAAAACTCAACAATTTCAATATTTTTTTTTTAACAGAAGAAAATGAGTTATTTTTATGCAAAAAATATTTAAAAAAATTGGCATTTCATCAATAATATCTTTAGAGGTAATCTTTGTATTTGAGGATTGTTGCAATTTCTTATTGGTATTTTTAACAATTTTGTTTTTAAAATTCTAAAAGCCTATTGACATGTGTTTCGACATATGTAGATTCTTCCATTTCGTGTTAACTTTGATTCTTAAAATGCAAATTCATATTTTAATCTCTTGAAACTTGCACAAAATTCAACATTTTCGCCCCTTAATTATCCTTACTAGTAATTTGTACAATTTTAGCCTGCTTTTTGCACTCTCTACCAATTGCCAGAAAATTCTATTTTTACTTTGAACGATTCATATTTGCCATAATCATCCAGGTGGTATAACCTCGTACAAGCAGGATTAAATAGTTTGATAATTCCGAATTACAATTCTGGTTATTATCACGCACACAATTTCTTTAATGCAAAAAGAAATTGATAGCACTTTGTGCTGCACCGCCTTCACCCGAAGCAATTTTATTTTGGAAAAATATTTCACAAAATG